CGAGATTTTATTTGAATTTTAGAGAAGCGCACGCGGACGGCCCGGCGGAATCCGGGCCGGATGCGTGGACGCTTCTGGAAGGAATTTCGTAGAAATAAAAGAGAGAGGGTGACGGGCGCTGCGGGGAAGGGGGGACGACTCGGCCAACCCTCACGACGGAACGGCACGCTCCCCAAAACCGCCTCCCCCATTTCACCGACAAGACCACTACAGCATATTTTAGCTCACCTTCAAAAGGACCGAGTCGTCCTGCAATTGTCACTGTTCTGTTCTGCGCAAACCCCCTTCATTTGCGTTGGAGACCTAATGACTCTCTGAACGGCCCAGACAGTCATTCCTCCCTCATGTCGTTGGTCAGCGGCACCTCCCCTTTTGCTCAGTGGTTATCACAATCATACCGTACGTTGGCGACATCTTCTTGCGCCTTTCGTGCGCGGTCGTGCGTCTCCGTCCTCCGCATCTCCCGCTATCCCCTGCACCTTTATACGACATGCCCCAACCTTCCGACATCCGCGCCCAGCCTCAATCCTCCGCTCCCCATCATCCGTCGCCACTGCGTCGATGACGTTTGACCGCCTGCCGCAGGCCGTGGCCTTTCTGCAGCAGCTCGTCGACAGCCACCCGGACACCGTGTATGGGTATTGCGCAATGGACCGCACCGAGGCCACGTGGCCCGACGCACCCGCTAAGAGCCTCTACTCGGCAAACATCTTCAGCCCCGCCCTGCGGAGCGAGCCCAGCTCCACGTCCACGAGCTCCGGCGATGAGAAGGGCCTCTCCGCCGCAGAGCGGCAGCAAGCGGTTGGTGACATTGGGCACCACACGGTGACCAACTACTACCGGTGCACGTTTGACGGGGCGGAGATTGAACTGGACAACTTTCGCGGGTGCTCCATGCAGCCGGAGCAGGTGGTCTTATTTGTGACGGATGACGAGTTTTTCAAAAGGGCGTCGCTCGTCGCGGAAGACCCTCTCAACCAGGTAAGGGTGGAGCTTCTCGCGCCGCGGCCTTCGACGTCGTCATCATCATCATCCTCGTCACTGATGCTGGACGAGCGCAAGACAGGCGTCACGGCCGACTTATCGCTGAAGAACATCTCCGTCGTGGGCGGGTGCGCCGTGGTACAGGCGGTGGTAACGGCGGTGAGCCTAGGCGAGGCGGAATTCGTGCAGGCGATTTACCGAGACACGTACCTTGCCAAGCGCGCGGTGGCACTCGACGTACCGCGCTCCAAGCTGCCGTTCTACCCACTGGACAAGCAAACCAAAACGTTGCTGCGGCAGATGCCGTCGGCAATGTGGGTGGTGTCAACCAGCGCGGCCCACGGGGAGGATCTGGCGATGACGGCGACGTCCGTCACGGTGCCTGCGGCGGCGCGCGGGATGATATGCTTCAATGTGGGGCACTCGAGCGCGTTCTACGCGGGGTTCGGCGGGGTCGGGGCGGGCGTGAGGCTGTTCGCGCTTTCGACAAGGCAGAAGGACATTGCCGAGCGGTACGTGACGAGGGCTGCGTTGGGGAAGGAGGATAGGACACGGCTGGAGGAAGAGTGCATGGTGGCGGCAAGTTGCACGATTGAGCATACCGAGGATGTGCAGGACCATCACATTGTTTTGACGAAGATTGACGGCGTCAAGGTGCCGGAGAAGGACGAGGAGGGGTTGATGCCTTTGGTTTGGCAACACGGAAAGTTGATCACGGAAAGTTGATCACGGAAAGTTGATCACGTAGCGGTAGGCGCCGGGTGCTGAGAGTCGGCCCTTGTGCGCTACAGTATTAAATTATATAAACGCTTTTTTAATTGAAACAAGGTCTTGAGCAAAGAAAAATGCAGCAACTCACAACTCAGAAATGGCCATTAGACTCGCCCCTCCCGGTGCACCGCCGTTCCCATCGCCGCCCTCTCGTTTCCCCCCCTTTCTATCCCGATCGCCTCCGCCGACGACACCCTCATCCTCACTGAAGGGAACGTCATCCAAGCCCTCGACGGTGAACAAAACACACACTCGTTCTCCCGCCATTTTTTGTACACGTACAATTATGTGAAATGTATTGCAGAAGGGACTTCACTATACATGTATATATCACATTCAGGTTGCAACGTGTTTCTGACTGTCGTACCTCCGGTGAGTGAGAATGTCCGGCGAGCAAGAATGGCCGCGGCAGGAAACAATGTCGTCTCTGGCCATCCCACCGAGCACAAGGAAGAGTGCCTGGCCTCGGTCTACTTGACGGTGTATCCACAAACAAGTGCTGATCGGATAGCCACGGCGGTATCCCGTACCCCTGTCTTCTTCCTCCCTGTTTCCAACCATCTCTTAAGAGATGGTTGGAACAAGGACACTCAACACACTTACACATTAATACACATTAATGTGTGAGTGTCCGTGCACGAGCAGTTGCCCGTGTCCAAACAAGCCAAAACCTCCATTTCACACAACCTCTTCATCTCCATCATGCACCCCCCACCACTACCAACAAGCCACAGCCTCCCGACGACCGCCCGTCTTCGACACTACACATGCCGTCAACCTCAACGCTAACACCGTCGTCAAGGTTTCTAATACCTGACAAAGCGAAAACCACCGCAAATCCGCCGTGCATATCTTGAACTTCATACTACAACGACTGATATCGTATGTGCCTGTTCCGCCTCCAGTTTTGTTTGCTGGTCTCGCTACGCGCAGTCTCTACGTTGGACGACACTATTCCCCGCACACTGACGCAACTGCGCGCGACACATAGAAAAGATGTGCCGGCTACTTTTTTTGCGGAGAGGGGCATCGAGGCGTCGGGTAACTAGAAACAACTTCAAATACATACAAATTTCTCCTGGCACATCATCCCTTACTACATACACCGTGGGTACAACCCCTCCTGTCCTGGCCGGGACATCCGCTTTTGCCCAGTGGTTATTCACACACTTACAATCACACTACTCCAAGAGCTCGTAAAAGTGCAGTCTTGCATAAGAACCAATTTCTACCTGGATCGCAATGTGCCGACCTGAAGTAGAACAGTACCAAGGATATCCCGCAACGGTTGCTAGGCGGATTTCGTCATCTCCTGTCTTGTAGCACACTCCATCTCCCTTTTGCCGAATCCTCAGTTTCCTCTCCAGTTTCCTCCCTAGATCCGCCGCCGTGAGTGTGCCCTCATTCGTATCGATGAACTGGCGCAGATCGCTCTCTTCGAGATACTCAACACCATCGTATTGCTTTTCGCAGACAACGCTTTGACTCGTCACGGACAGGATTAGTAACGTTCTTCCACGCAACGTCGCCATTCGCGACCCGTCCCGGAACCAAGCAATATGCGTTAGATGTTCACTGTTTGTGCTATACCTTAACATCACCCCTGTCTCAATATCCCATATCGCAAGCTCTCTTCCAATTCCAAAGGCTACGCGTCGTCCGTCGTCAGACCATTCCAGCGGATAGCGTGGTAAACCATACTCATAGAGCTGGTACCGATATGTTACACCTGTCTCCCAATTCCAGATCATAACTCCGCCTCTGCTTGGTTTCCCATTTTCATCAATTTCAACATCAGAATTTGGAGACCAAGACATATTATATCCAGTTGACGCGATCCACTTGTCATCTGGAGACCACTTCACCGGACCAGCCGAATCAGAATAGTCAAAAGGGAACAGAGCCCGCCCCCGCCCAACAGAGAACGGAGCCCGCTCAACAGAGAACGAAGCCCGCACACCTTCTTCACCTTCTCTCCAGGGCCGCTTCACAAAGTTGAACCAATCTATGTGAACTTCGTCTGCAAATTCGTCTGAATACAACTCAAGCAGACCTTGGTCCGCAGCCCATTTCAGGCCGACCGAATCTGGGACACGTTCGGGGGCATCGCCCATCGTCTCTCCTGTTTTGGCGCCCCGCAGCACGACCCCGCCATCTGTATGCCCACATGCCACCCTGATCGCCTCTCCCGTTCTGGCGCTCAACAGCACGACCCTGCCCCCGTTACTCCTACCCCCAAGCGCGATCTTCGTGTCGTTTCCAGCCCACGCCATGCACCCGATCCACATGTAGGTGTCCGTGATTCTCTCCCATAACTTGTTCCCAGTCTTCCCGTCCCACAACCCCATCCCCCTTCTAAACGACACGAACACCCTCGTCCCATCATTGGACCAACATGCTTCTGCTTCTGCGTAATCATCCTTGGCCCAGGCCTCCCCGCCTTCCCACAACTTGTCGCCCGTCTTGCTGTCCCACATCGCAAACGTTCCATCTCTTGCTGCCGTAAACACCCGCTTGCTATCTCTAGACATCTCCAGACAATGCACAGGGCTTACGTGTGTCTCAGCATCCCCCCACATCTTCTTCCCCGTCTTCACATCGTACATCACTACGTCTCCGTCTCCAGCCACAGTAGCACATATGTCATCGCTTGACCACGCAACAGCCGTGAATTCTTGCCCTTCCTTGTTGACCTTGTCGACTTCCTCTTCCTCCTCCTGCACCCTCTCCAGATTATCCCACCTCCAAATGACAATATTGGAAACATCCGCAGAAAACATCCGCTTTCCATCTTCTAGCCAGCCCAAGACGTCCGGCCCGCGTGTCGCCATGTGCCGCCGTACTTCTGCCCCGGTCTCTGTGTCCCTCACAGAAACCACCCTGCCACCGGAAGCAGCCAACCATCTCCCATCCCCGGACAGAGATATTGCCGTTGCCCAAAAATCATCAAATTTCGATATTCTCTTCCCCGAGCGTCCGTCCCATACCGACACCACACCCTGCCCGCCACAGTACTCGCCACAGTACAACAGCGTCCCGTCCTCCGACCATGAAAGACAGCGAACGTATTCCAAAGGCGCGCTTTCCGCGATACTCCTACCAGTTTCCCCGTCAAAGATCCACAATCTTGCTTCAGATACTGTTTCTTCAATTTTTCTACGTTCCATCTTGAACACGCACGCGACCCGCTTTCCATTCTTCGACCACGAAATCCACGACTTGGTCCAAACGTAGTCGGCTAGTCGAATACTCGGCAAGCCAATCACCCGAACCATCTCCCCTGTCTCTGCACACAGTATCAAAATTGACCCGTTTGAGCCGCATTCTCCCGTGCACGCCAACCGTTTCCCGCCCGGTGAAAGCGATACTTTCTTGACAACATGGCCCCGCATATTCGCTGCCTCCTTGATCTTCACACCTCTCTCAACATCCCACAACACAACCACACCATCTTCTCCCCCAAACGCTACTCGCTTTCCATCCCCCGTCAAGTCAAAAGGGCAACGGCCCAGGTGCCCTACATCCATTTCCTGTCCGACTCGCTTTGCTGTAGCTCCTGTATGCATATCCCACACCTGCACGCTTGTTCCATCTCCCTGTACTACCGCTACGTACTTTCCGTTCTCCGACCAAAACCTGCTCACACCCCGTGCCACTTTAAACAACACGTTTTCTTCCATTTCCCCGTCCCGGAATGTCCGACGAAACAGACGCTTCCCATAATCCCCCCAAGCGATCACTTCGTTCTTAGCTGCGCATCCCGACATTCCCACCACCCTCCCCTGGTCCGGAAATATGTGTTGCACCGCGCCTGATACGTTCAAGCCAGGTGTAAGCGACTTCAACCACGGCTTCTCCGCAACTTCCTCTATCCTGCGTAAGAACTCTCCAATTACTTCCGACTCGTTCCTGAATCTCAACAGACCATCGTACAGCTGAAACAATACCTCTCTCGAACTTCGACGAACAAAGGACGCACTCAGCCTCGCCTGTCTAGCAATCTTCTGCAACGACCACAGCCTGCCTCCCGCTTCGCACCGTTCTCCGTCTTCCCCGGCTACGTCCGTCAAAATCTTGAAATCCTCTTGAAGATTTAGCCCCTCTGCCCGAGTTAACTTCTCTGCCACCCACCTGGCATCACTCAAAACATCCCACAAATCCTCGCCCAGCTGCGCCCCCTTGAGATGGCGGCACAAGTTGTGTCGGAAATACTCGTCCTCCACCATATCCTTCTTCCACCCTCTCCCGCAAACCCACGGCGGCGCTTCTTGCCTGTTCTCACTCTCGTTCCATTGCCATTCTTGCACAAGCTTTTCATGCCACCTCTTCTCTCCCCCATTCCCACATCTCTGTTGCACGTAATCGAGCTGCAAATCGTGCAACCTGACTCCGGCGATCTTGTGACCACTTGACACTCCATCCTTTCGTTCCACTAGACTGGCCTCCACGAATTCGTGCAGCACTTTCAATGCCTGAGCTTTTCCTTTCCGTCTCCATAACAAACAGAGCACACTCAACGGCAACCATCCTTGGCGCCGAATGACCACCAGCGACTCGTACATCTCGGCGTAGGACATCAACTGCCCATCTCCTCTGGTCTTCTTTCGATCCATCATGCACAGCGAAACTTCAAACGCCATTGACAGGTTCTCGTATAGGTACGTCCCATCCGCTCTTTCGTCCAATAGTATTGACGATGTATCTTCCAGACACTCCAAGTACTCATCAAGCACATTTTTCAGACAAAGTTCTTTCGCAATCTCACGATGTCTCGCAATCGCTCTGCCAACCACGGACAGCGCAAGCGGAAGCCCACCGCAAAATCTCAGTATCCTATCCGTTTCATCCCCCAGGCCCTCAACCTCTTCACGTTGTATGTCAGCAGACTTCAGCAAGATTTCCAGAGAGGAAGCATCTTCTTTTGTCGAAAATTGGATTTCTTCGCTTCCCTCCACCACGCCCCACTCTCGCGCTGTGAACGCTGTACGGCTGCTGTTCTCCACATCCGCAATTTCTCTCAGTCTTGACATGACTTTACTTCCGGCTATGCCTTCTCTCCCGACCATGCCTTCTCTCCAGACATCGTCGACAAGTAACAAAATTGTCTTCCCTTTGAACCACTCTGTGACCCTCGAAACCGCAGATTCTAGCACGCTTTCTTCACGCACCTCCTTCGCTTGCGTTTCCCCTCCGCTTTCTCTCGTGATGCGGGCCAGCTGTTCCATTACTCCTCGTTTTGTCGCGTCTTGACCGAGCACCAGCCAGTATATACCGTCGCAAAACCGGCTGCGAACTTCTTCATCCGAGGCCAGACCGCGTAGGGCGCAAGACTTTCCGATGCCTCCCATCCCCTTCGTCCCCACAACCCCTCCACGGCGCGCTCCAACAGCACCAACATTTTGACGGTCTCCCGGACGCAAAACACTCCGCCTCAATCGTTCTTCCGGAGCCGTCATACGTTCCGTACTGTTGCCAGCATCTTCACTGCGTCCAAACTTCAGTATGACATGATCCGGGTTCTTTGGCACTTGAAACGAAGCCTTGAAGCCATCCTTCTTCGGGTCCTTCTCCGCGGATGTAGTACGCATTTGATGACGAGCATCGCCACTGGCGCCGCTCCTCTTCGCCTCTTCCTCGAGTGGGCCATGTCCGCCTTCTGTCACTACATCGCTCGAGTGCTCCTCACATTTCTTTTTCACAGCCAGAAATACTCGCTTCACAAGTTGTTTTCTTGCAAGATGGCTGAATTCGTCTTCCAACCGGTTCGTTGCCTTTTCGTCATTTTCTATCCCGGTGATATCTGCCAGCTCTTGTAGCTCCCTCTTCACCATTTCCGTGCTCGCCTCGCCCTGTCGTTCCTCGCTAAAAAACTTCTCAACTTCAAAAATATTGTTTCCTTCAATATCCTGATGCTCACTGGGCTCCAACTTTCTACATTCCCGAATACTTAGTCTGTAAAACACCGGAATCAGTGTCGGCGGCAGCATCCCATCGCTTCTAGCTTCTCTCCGTCGGCGTAGGAAGCAGCGCAGCTCCCTCATAGTCCATTTTCGAGCGGCAAACTCGGGAGAAAGAATGAAAACACCGACCTTCGCAGATTCCATGGCCTTCGTCATTTCGTCCGGTCCGCAGTCACCGGGCTGTAGCGAGATTTTGTCGAGGAAGCAATTAAAACCCTGATCTTCCAATTTCTGGGAAAGAGGACGTGCGATGTGTAGCTTGTCCGGGCCAGCATGGCTTATGAACACATCGATAGAGTCTTGCTGGTAGCTTTCCTGCATTTTTAAGTAAATAGCCAGACGCCTAGGACAAGACAGAAAGAAAAGAGAAGTTGATGAGGTGCGGAGTGTGTTTGCGTGAAAACGGCGCCGGTCGGTCGAAAAACAGGGATGCGAAGGTTGATGGCCACGTTCAGCGCGTGGCACTCTTGTCTTTGTCAACGGTCAACGTGTCTACGGCGTTGTCAACGAAAGCGGAATGAGTGGGGACGTTTGTGTGGATGAGTAGGATGAGACGAAGTACTTGCGCTTGCTGTTTCGTGAATGAACGCTCGTAGAACTCCAGCGTGGAAGGAAGCACCCAGGGTGTATTACAGCCTCGTGAATGAACGCTCGTAGAACTCGAGCGTGGAAGGAAGCACCCAGGGTGTAAGGGCTGTTTGTTGCTCGCCTCTTGATGGTGGCGGATTTGTCAGAACGCGGGGGGGAAAGTTTACTCTGTGCTGTAACAGCTGGCCTTCATGGCCACCAATATAAAAATATCTTGCGTTGTACTGTAGTTCACTGCCGACAAATCAACTAATTTACAGTACTTTGGGTCTGGAATAAGGTAAAAATAAACTCCAATCTCATCATCGCTTTCGGCCATCACCAATCACATCGACAACTGCCCTTTGACGCAAGTCGCCGACAATACAGAGTAAAATCACGATAGAGTGAGAGCATCCCCACCGGTAGAATCAAATACCCAAACAACCAAAATTTGATGATTTGATGTCGATTGAAATCCCCACCGGTGCAACCAAATCATCAAATGTTTGGTGTCGATTTAAAAATCGGAACCAAATATCAAGAATTTGGTTCGGATAGTCTCTGTTTGATTACCCTTGACAATCCAGTTGTGCACGTTCTATTGGTCCACCGAAACGGCTTCCCACCAAAAGTGCATCGATGCGGTATTTGCCTCGAGATTACCAGTGTCTCCCGCCGATCCAGAATGCCCACTACGGCGTGCATGCTCTTCCCCCTTCCATCCCTCCAGAACGTCGCCGGCCCCGCCATCCCTGAGCGCGTCCTTCCCCGCCCGGCTCTTACACAACAACAACACTTCCTCGACCAACCAGGCGCGAATCTCCGCCATCTCCTCCCGTCCCACCTCCTTTGACCTCCCCAAGCACATTGCGACCGCCGCCGTACCCCCACCAACACATCATGGCACTCGTCCGCCATCGCGCAGTTCCGCACCCAGCTCGCCCCCGCCAGC